TTGGCTCTGAGGAACAGTGCAGCTGTGCACATGCGTGTACAATGGTGTGGACAGGTGTTCTCGGTTCTCTTGGGTATACACTGAGGAGCAGAATTACACAGCTACAATAGTAACTCAGTGCTTTTTTACTGTTAGAGGAACTGCCACATTGTTTTCCCAATGGCTGCAACATTTTATGTACCTTCTTCATGCAAATATTCAGAATCAGTATTCATTAAACTGAAATAATGATTTCTTACCCGATGAATTCAATCAGATACGATTGTTTCAGTCCTCAACAGAGGAAAAGACTGAAGCTTAGGAGATTAAGCGACTTGGGCAAAATCACACAAGTGATTAGCTACAGAGCCAGGATTTCTACCCAGCCTGAACCAATTCTCTTGTCCACTAAGCCGTGAAGTAGACTCTGCTCAGGCGCCCACAGGAGATCAACGTGATAAGGCTGTTAACTGGGGGTAATGGCAGGAGGACAGCCCCTAGGAAGGCAGGGGAAGAAGAAGGTTGACAAATCCTGGTTTTGTTTTTTTTTTTTTTTTTTAATTTAAGATTCACATATTTGAAAGGTAGAGCAGGGAAGAGAGAATGAGAGAGATCTTTCATCTGTTGGTTCGCTTCCCCTAAAGGAAGCAATAGCCAGACCTGGGCCAGACCAAAGCCAAGAGCCAGGAATACCATCTGGATCTCCCACAGTGGTGGCAGGGGCCCGAGCATTTGGGCCGTCTTCCACTGCCTCACCAGGTGCATTAGCAGGACGTCGGATTGGAAGTGGAGCAGCCAGGATTCCAACCAGCACGCCCATTGGATGTGGGCATTGCAATCCACTGCACACATCACACCAGCTCCTGCTGAATCTTACTGATTCTCATATGAAAATGCATTTTAGCCTGGCTCCTGGCTTTGGATCGGCGCAGTTCCGGCTGTAGGGGCCATTTGGGGGGGTGAACCAACGGAAGGAAGACCTTTCTCTCTGTCTCTCCCTCTCACTGTCTATAACTCTACTTGTCAAATAAATAAAAGAAAAAAAAAAAGAAAGAAAGTGCGTTTTAGGTCTTTCATCTTACTTTCTCTACTTTTAAAAAGCTGGTCACCATTTGTTTTATATTTAATTTTTTGAAAGGCACAGAGACTGATGGAGAGGAAGAGGGAGAGGGAGAGGATGAGAGGGATCTCCTGTCTGCTAGCTCACCCACCAGATGCCCACAATAGTCAGGGCTGGGCCAGGCTGAATCCAGGAGAACTCAGTTCTGGTCTCACACACAGATAGCAGAGACCCAACTGCTTCAGCCATCACCTGCTGCCTCTCAGGGAGCTGAAATGAAGAGCAGAGCTGGGACTTGAACTCTAATATTCTGATATAGGATGAGGGCGACCCAAGGGGCTTCTGAGCCACTGCACCAAACATCCCATCCATTATTTTGTATGTGAACTACTACATGGCCTTCTTCTTCTTCTTTTTTTTTTTTTTAAAGATTTATTTATTTATTTGAAGGTCAGAGTTACACAGAGAGAGGAGAGCCGGGGGGGGAGGGTCTTCCATTGCTGGTTCACTCCCCAGTTGGCCACAATGGCCGGAGTTATGCCGATTTGAAGCCAGGAGCCAGGAGCTTCTTCCGGGTCTCCCACACAGGTACAGGGGCCCAAGGACTTGGGCCATCTTCTGCTGCTTTCCCAGGCCACAGCAGAAAGCTGGATCGGAAGTAGAGCAGCTGGGACACGAACCGGCACCCATATGGGATACCACCACTGCAGGCGGAGGCTTAACCTGCTACGCCACAGCACCAGCCCCCTGTGTGCTGCGTGCCTTCTAACTACTTTAACTTTTCTCTTCTTTCCCACATATTCTCCACTCATTAAACACAAACCCAGCCATATCAATCCCAGTAAAAACAAAGCCGGGGTAGGTATCTCACCTAGGAGTTGCGATGCCCAAGTCCCAAATGAGTATTTGGGTTCAGTACCTAGCTCCGGCTCCTGACTCCAGCTTAATGCTAATGTGGACCCCGGGAAGCAGCAGTGATGGCTCAAGCAACTGGGTTCCTGCCCTTCACGTGACAGACCTGGACTGAGTTCTGGGATCGCAGTGTCCAGCAGCTTAGCTGTTCTGGGCATCTGAGGACTGAACCAGCAGACGGGAGACCTTTATCTCTGTTTCTGAGAGAGAGAGAGAGAGAGAGAGAGAGAGAGAGCCCTGCACTGTAGTGCAGCGGGTTAACGCCCTGGCCTGAAGCGCTGGCATCCCAAATGGGCGCTGGTTCGAGACCCGGCTGCTCCACTTCCAATCCAGCTCTCTGCTGTGGCCTGGGAAAGCAGTAGAAGAAGGCCCAAACCCTTGGGCCCCTGCACCCGCGTGGGAGACCCGGAGGAAGCTTCTGACTCCTGATCGATGCAGCTCCGGCCGTTGCGGCCAATTGGGGAGTGAACCATCGAATGGAAGACCTCTCTCTCTCTCTCTCTCTCTCTCTCTGCCTCTCCTCTCTCTGTGTGACTCTTTCAAGTAAATAAATAAATCTTAAAAAAAAAAATCCCCTGAGCTAGGGGATTTGCCAACGATTACAGAGAGAGAGAGAGAGAATCTTCCATCTGCTGGTTCATTTCCAGATGGCCACAACAGCCAGGATTGGGCCAGGCCAAAGCCAGGAACCCAGAGCTTCTTCCAGGTCTCCCATGTGGGTGGCAGAGGCCCAAACACTTGGGCCATCTTCTGCTGCTTTTTCCCAGGCCATTAGCAGGGAGCTGGATCAGAAGTGGAGCAGTAAGAACTCGAACTGGTGCCCATATGGGATGCCAGCCTTGAAGGTGGCAGCTTGATCTGCTATGCCACAATGCTGTCCTCTCTGAAGGGATTTCTACTTCATCGTGCATGTGTGTGTGGTGCAGGGAAAGAGCAAGGAAGGAAACCCACAGTTCTAGATTAGTGTGGAGGCCTCAAAGGTTAGCACAGTGTTTGTTGGGAGAATGTGGGCCAGGTCCGTAATCCAGCCTAGATCAGAGACAGCTCCCAGAGAGAGGTAGAATTTGAGCTACCTTGTGACAGATGAGTATACTAGAAGGGAAGAAGGGAAGCTGTTATTCCCACCGATGGAACCGCAGGTGCAAAGGCGAGGGCGGAGGCAAAGCAGCTGGCTTGCTTTCACTGCACCTGTGCTTGCTAAGTGCCTTTGGGTACCGTGCGCTGGGGATGCAGCCGCCCAGCCGCTTGCCTGGCTTCCTAGAGCTGACAGTTGGAAAGGGACAATGTTGCAAACAGGGAAGGGCAGGTTGGGATGAAGGGAGGGCAAGTGCCCCAGCCAGGGAGGCCCATGCACTGCGGAGTGTCAGGGAGAGAGCCCGCGTTCACCTTAGTGTTGTCATAGAGCGCATTGATAGCGTTTTATCATGTTCCCAAGGGGATCTGGGTTAGAACTTTTATTCTAGGGCCCCTCACCTTGAGCTAAGGAGTTTGACCTTGATCTGAACGTCCTGGGAACCACCACTGAAGTGAAACCACCAAAGCCTGACGTGAGCTTTGGCAGAGGGAACGCCTTGTGCCTTTTTCCACGGCTAAGCTTCTGCTCTTGCCATGCCCCTGGCCTGGAGGAATGGAAGGGGCAGATCTTAAAGCCAGACAGCCCCGACTCTCCATCCTGTCTCCAAGCACCATGCTCCAAGTCTCCAGGTCCCTCCCTCTGTTCCAGCTGGGAGGTTAAAATGAGACCATGATGTCTTTGAAGATTTAACAACAATTTTTCTGGCGGGGAGGGAGTGCCCAGCACATAGTAGCAACTCAGCAAATGTCAGTTTCTCCCTTGGCCTGGTGGCTTAGCTGCTCAGTCCTCCCTCCACCCCCCCACCCCCGCCCTTGCCAAAGGCTTTATCGGAGCTTTCTGCACAGCAGTGCCTGTTCCCAAGGAGCATCGTGGGGATCACCTAACACATGCTATTAAATTCGCATCTGGGGCCGGTGCTGTGGCATAGCAGGTAAAGCCGCTGCCTGCAGTGCTGGCATCCCATATGGCGCTGGTTCTAGTCCCGGCTGCTCCACTTCCGATCCAGCTCTCTGCTATGGCCTGGGGAAGCAGTAGAAGATGGTCCTAGTCCTTGGGCCCCTGCACCCGCGTGGGAGATCAGGAAGAAGCTCCTGGCTTTGGATCGGCGCATCTCCTGTCGTTGATCACCAGGTCTTGGGAAATAGTAACAACAGCAGCTGACATTTACTATGTGCACACAACACAATTCCTGACTTCTCCGGCAAGTGGGTCAATTCTCTCGCTATTCTAATTCACAGGAGCTCAGAGCAGTCAAGTAAGTTGCCCAAGGCAAGCCAGGGTGGTCAGTTTCAAAGTGGAGACTCGGACCTGAATCGGAGTAACCACAAGACGTCCGTGCCATTCTGCCTCTCTGGGAAAACACGACTCCCCACAGCACGGTTCAAAACCCCACCCAAGCCCGACCCGCGTCGCACTCGGTCTGCTCCAGCCGAGTCCTTTGTTTGGACGAGAGACGCAGAGGGCGCTGCCTGACGCTCGTGTGGGGTACCCAGGGTGGAAAAGTAGGCGCTGGGGGCGGCGAGGACCTGGGGGCCGGCGGCAGAGTCACGTGGGCGTGAAAGTCGACCTCGGGGGAGGGGAAGAGAAGGGAGCCCCCGCCCCCACCTCTGGGCGCAGCTCGGGACGCGAGTAAATACCGCGATCCGCTCGGCAGATCACTCCGTCCATGCCCGGCTTCGCGGACCTGTGGCGCCCGGCGGGTTCCCGGCTCCCGACTTCTTCCGAGAGCGCAGGCGAGGCGAGACCAGCAGGCTGTCTGGCTGAAGTTCCGAGGCCGCTGGGACCCGGTACGCAGAGAAAACCCCAACGCGGGTGCACTTCAGGGCTGGGCCGGCGGGACCCCGGATCCTGAGCTCGCGGCCGCGCGGCAAAGGCGCTGCGCTCCGCCAGGCGTCTGCGGGTGTAGGAGGCGCGTTTGCCCCGATCGGAGGTGAGCGGCGGGTGCGGTGGGGGACCGCGCGTCCGCGGAGAGCCACCTGGGCCAGCTGCCACCCACCCTCGCCGCAGGCTTCCCTAGAAATGTCTGTTGCCGGAGCCTCCGGGTGCCGCGGCACGTCGTGCGCTCTCTCCAAGCGCGCCCCTCCGACCCTTCCTCTGGGCCCCTTCGTTTGCTGCACTTCCTCGGTTTCCAGCCACACTTGTCAGAGTTCTAACGAACCTCCGGGAGCGCCCGAGGCGGCCAAAACCCCATATCACAGATGAGGACCAAGGCTCCCGGAAAGAAGTGACTCGGGCCAGCCCGCCCTGGCTCTGGTTCTTTCTGCCCGGGTCTCACCTCCCGCCCCCACGCCGCCCGCGTGCCGTCTCCTCCCGCGGTGGCTGCAGCGGCCGCGGCGGGGGGAGCGCGCCTCCTTTCCTCCCTCTGGTAAACACACCCGCCCGCCAGCCAGCCCATCCGCTATCACGGCCCTTATAAAGTCAGCCGTCGCCGGACTTCCTGCCGGAGCCCGAGCCCCCTCCTCGGGCTACGAGGCGCGCGGCGTGGTGCCTGGCGCCCCGCTGAGCGAGCCCAGGGCGCGAGAGGACGCGCCCGCCTGCCCTGGGTCTGCCTCCACGTGGCAGCTGTTGGCTTGGCTCGAGAGGCTGTAGGGACTCGCCTGGTGTGCAAAGTGGGACGGCTCGCTCTCACCCGGCCCCGGAGGGTGTGGACTTGGAGGGGTAACAGGAAGGAGAGGGTCTTAGGGTAGCCTCAGACTTCCTCTTCCTCCTCTTCCTTGCTTCCAGGGGGTCCTTCCTGGCGCAAGAGGCCGGCCGGACATGGGCCAGCGGTGGCTTCAGAGCGCGCTCTGCCCCCTTGCTGACCTGTGGGGACTTGGAGAAGCGCGGGTTTCGCTCCCCGCACCCCTCCCGCCAGGAGCCGGGCTCAGCGCGCTGTGTGCTGGGTGGGAGAGGCCGGCAGCGGGCCAGGAAGCTGCTGCGTGCAGACAAGACCTTCCTTGTTTTTGATAGTGGCCGGGCGGGAGCCCAGCGCCGCGTGCGCCCTTGGCACTGCCAGTGTGCGCAGAGCCAGCTCGCCGGCGCTGGCTGGCCAGGGCTCTATGGGGCCTCCATGAAGGCCCCCGCGCGGCTTGGCGCGAGGGGCTCTCAGGAGCCATCATGATGCAGGACCCTTCCCAGGGGCCGCTGGGGGACCCTTCGCTCAGCCTTCTGTTTCTCTGCAGACTCTCGGCCAGCATGGCCCCCACGCTGGAGCAGGCGTACCGGAGGCGCTGGTGGATGGCCTGCACCGCGGTACTGGAGAACCTCTTCTTCTCCGCGGTCCTGCTGGGCTGGGGCTCCCTGCTGATCATTCTCAAGAACGAGGGCTTCTATTCTAGCCTGTGCCAAGGTATGCCCGAGAAGGGGCAGGTGGGTTGGAGAACAGGTGGGAGGTGGAAGGGACAGGTGGCCGGGAAGTAGGGTTGCTCGAAGCACTGGGCAGGCTCTCTTCCTGACTTCTTCAAAATTCATGGGGAGAAGAGGGGGCATCCTCCCCACTCCACCTCCTTTGTCTAATTCAGTGGTCACCGAATGCCAGGTATCCTACTGGGCATTCCGGTGCAGGGACCAGTCAGGCTGGCGGGTGGGGGGGGGGGCAGAGCAGGATGTAGCTGAGTTGGCTATTGTTAGGTTAAATAAGACAAAGCAGAGCTGCCTCCGGTGGGAAGTGAGTGTGACAGGCCTGCCCGCTCTCGTTTGTGAGTCCTGAGGTTTTCAAGTCACCTATTTGCTCAAAGTTAAGAAGCCGACTTCCTCTAGGTCTGGCAGTGGGCAGGCCTTTGTTTCTCACTTCAGCCACCTTGACCTTGTGGCGGGAGTGGCCCAGAAAGAAGGAGTGCAATTACTGACAATCCTGGGGAGCCACAGCTCAGCCACGGGCTATCTGCAGCTGCCCCTGGGCAGGGAGGAGCCCAGCTGCGGGCGTCTGGGAGCTGGATGGGCATCTGTCTCCCTTTTCCTGGAAGCTGAGTGCTGTGCTGACAAGCTGGGCCAAGTGCTGGAGGGTGTGGAGTCTGGCCCTCTTCCTCCCGCTTTCTCCCCCTCCTCCCTTTCCCTGACCCCCAATCTCCCTGTTGTGGAGCAAGCTTGGAAGGAACTCCTATTTGGATCTGAGTCCCAGTTACCCCCGCTTCTCTCAGCTCAGTGACATCAATGCGTCCCTTAAACGTGGCACTGCGGTGTGCTGCTCTGCAGAATGGGGCTAATAACAGTGTGTGTCCCATGGGCATCCCAAGGGTCTTTCTGGCGTCTTCACAACTCCCCTGCCCCGCAGCACCTGCTGTGGCTGTGGGAAAGAACCGGATTCCTTGGGGGTGGAGGTGGGGAGGTCTTGATCTCTCTGGGTGCACTGAGCAGTGGCCACTCCCACCTGGGGTGCTGCCCCACCCCTGCCAGGCTTATCTGTAAGGAAGCAGCAGGTGGTGTGGAGGGATGGCAACTTGCCCATGCCTCCTGGGGTCCAATTAGAGGGTAATGCCCCCCCCCCCCAAGGAGGTAGAGTTGGCTGCTGGCCTAGGACCACAGGGTGGGTGTGGAGAAGGAGGCTGGAGATGAGATGAAATGAGAGAAGAAGGGGAGGACTGTTTAGGGTCAGGTCTCCTCCTGAGCTACTGGGGATGGCCTGCCCTTTGCTGCCCAGTGGCCCTGATGCCTGGTCCTACCCACCCAGTAGCTGCTTCTTGCCTTCTCTACCTGTTGGTGAAAAATTGTCTCTCATTTATTTGAAAGGCAGAGAGAAAGAGAGATCTTTCATCTGCCAGTTCACTCCCCAAATGCCCTTAACAGCCAGGGCTGAGCCAGGCTGAAGCCAGGAGCCCAGAACTCCATTCAGGTGTCCCACACGGGTGGCAGGGGCCCAAGTATTTGAGCCATCATCTGCTGCCTCCCAGGGTGCACAGTGGCAGAAGCAGAGGTGGGACTCAATCCCACGCACTCTGATACAGAATGCAGGTGCACCAAGCCGCTACTTAGCCTGTTGCACCACAACACCTGCTCCCAGGAGCACTCGGTCTTGTCTCTCTTCTTCTCAGAAATATAAATAAAAATACATATTTAGAACATTTCCATCAGCCTCAAAACTCCTGCTCCCCTTCTGAGAGTCTATACCTCCACTTGTGCTTTTATAAAATATGAGAAATGGCTATATCAAGGTACAACCCTGACACCTTACAAGTCACTCATTTGAAGCATATAGTGGCTTTTAGCATGTTCAGAGTTGTGCAACCATCATTGCAATCAATTTTGGAACATTTTCTTTATCCCTCAGAGCAACCACTCATTGCGTTAGCAGCTTCCACGGCCCTGATGTCTTCCTCCACCGTCAAGCACAACCACTCAGCTACTTTCTGTCATAGGGCTTTGCCTAAGATGAAGATTAAAAATTAGATTTACCTGTTCTTAACACTTCATATAGAGTTTTATGTGCCTTCTTTTATGACTGTCTTCTGTTACTTAGGGTAGTGCTTTCATGGTTCACCTGTGTAGCATGTGTCAACACTTTAAAAATTATTTTATAAATATTTATTTTATTTTATTTTATATTTATTTGAAAGGCAGAGTTACAGAGAGCAGAGGAGAGACAGAGAGACAGAGAGAGAGAGAGAGATCTTCCATCTGCTGGTTTACTCCCCAAATGGCCACAATGGCCAGGGCTGAGCAGGCCAAAGCCAGGAGCCAGGAGCTTCTTCTGGGTCTACCAAGCTGGTGCAGGAGCCCAAGCACTTGGGCCATCTTCCACTGCTTTCCCAGGTGCATCAGCAGGGAACTGGATGAGAAGAAGCCAGGTGTTGAACAGGCATCCATATGGGATGCCGGCCATCACAGGTGGAGGGTTAACCTGCTATACCACAACATTGCCCCCCACCCCTTAAATTTTTTAACGATTTGTTTATTTGAGGGGCTGGCTTTGTGGTAGAGCTGTTAAAGCCACTGCTAAAGCCGCCACTGCTTTCAATGCTAACATCCCATATGGATATAGTTGGTGTCCCAGCTGCTCCACTTCCAATCTAGCTCCCTGTTAATGAACCTGGAAAAGTGGCTTCTAGTGCTTGGACCTCTGCCACCCACGTGGGAGGGCTGGCGCTGGCTTCTTTTGTCCATTTTTAAATTATGTTGTCTTTTATTATTGAGTTGTAAGGGTTCTTTCTGTTCTAGATACAAATCCCTTATCAGATGCCTGCTGTGCAAGGTTTTTCTCCCACTGTGAGTTGTCTTTTTACTTCTTCATTCTGTTCTTTGCTGCACAACAAAGCCCAATTTATCTTTTTGTTTTGTTTTGTTTTGTCATGGCATTTGGTATCATATTTACATCATTGCTTAACCTAAGGTCACAAAGATTTGTACTTTATTATCCTTGATCCATTTTGAGCTACTTTTTGTATATGGTGTGAGGTGTCCACTTGGAGTTTTGAGTTACCCAGAAGTGGGTGTGTCTGGATCTGGCCATTTGGGATCACTAAAGTAGCAAAGTCGACACCTTCCCAGAGTGTAACCATGTACTTTTTTCTTTTCTTTAAAAAATATTTTATTTATTTTAAAGGCAGAATGGCAGAGAAAGAAGTCTTCCCTCTGCTGGTCTTTCCATCTGCAAAGGCTGGGGTTGGGTCAGGCTAGAACCAGGAGCTAGGTCTTCCATGTGGGTGGCAGGGTCCAAGTCCTTGGGCCATCTGCTGCTTTCGCAGGCTCATCAGCAGGGAGCTGGATTGGAAGCAGAGCAGCTGGGACTTGAACCAGCACTGATTTGGGATGCTGGCATCACAGGCGGCTTAACTCACTGTGCTACAATGCCGGCCCCAGTTGTGCACTCCTAGGAGACAGGGTTCCGCACACCTCTTTCCTCTCACCTTCCTTCCACTCTAGGGTCTCCAGCCTAACTTCTGAGACTGTCCAGTTGACTGTGGATATGGCTCCTAGTCCGTCTCAGTCAGGCCACCTGATCAAGAGTGCCTGTGTTTTGCTTCTTGGGGCTTCATTCATGGTGGTGTTGTACCTGAGCGAGTGTAAACAAAGGAGCTCCACACATTGATAAAAAGCAACAGGGTTTATAAAGACAAAAACCACAAAACCAGGAGGGGAATACATGGTTGCTAGGATCGGGGGGGGGAATACATGGTTACCGGGGTCAAGCTGACCTAAAACCTATGCGAAACTAGTATCAATTATAATCTTGACAATACCAGTTACAGTCTTAACAATTTTAATTACAATCTTGACATTAATCCAGGTATTGGTTTTAATCATATGTAGGACATAGACAAATTACGTTTTTATCATTAACCCAGGTGCAGCCTATCCACTTCCAAGCTTGAGCGATCATGCTAGGGGGTTTCTATGCTCTGCCAAGTGTGGTGTAGTGGACTGCTATTGTCCAACTGTTTTAGAGCATAGTTTCAGACCAGAGTCTCACAGTGTCGGGGGGCACCTTCCCAGAATGGAGTCTCAGGTTCTCCAAAATGGAGTCCCTACTGTCAAGGTGTTACTTCAGTGGGTCTCAGCTTCCTTCTACAGTGTTCTAAGAACAGGGGCTCTGAGCAAGGATCTGAGTCCCTGTCCCGGTGGACAGGGGCAGCCAGCATGGCTTCCAGCTCTGCTAAGGGCTGCTTGGCTGCAGTCAGGTACTTTGCTTTCTTTTTTCTTTCTTTCCTCTTTTTTTTTTTTTTTTTTTTTTTTTTTTTTTTTTTTTTTTTTTGACAGGCGGTGTTAGACAGTGAGAGAGAGAGACAGAGAGAAAGGTCTTCCTTCTGTTGGTTCACCCCCCAAATGGCTGCTATGGCCAGTGCACTATGCTGATCCGAAGCCAGGAGCCAGGTGCTTCTCCTGGTCTCCCATGTGGGTTCAGGGCCCAAGCACTTGGGCCATCCTCCACTGCACTCCCGGGCCACAGCAGAGAGCTGGACTGGAAGAGGGACAACTGGGACAGAATCCGGCGCCCCGACTGGGACTAGAACCTGGGGTGCCGGCACCTCAGGAGGAGGATTAGCCAAGTGAGCTGTGGCGCTGGCCGGTACTTTGCTTTCTTAATATTTCAGTGGTCCCTTATGTAAATGGATCGTCATCCCGGCCTCATAGGGCTGTTGTGAAAATGGGATGAGAGCAAGCCCAGTTTCAGACTGCCCACGGAGTGGGTTTCTTCGTATTTTCAGGACCCTGCTTTGCTGATGTTTGCTGTGTGACCTTAGGTAAATAACTTACCCCTTCTGGGCTCCCTGTTCCTAAGTCTGTGAAACACAGTGGCCCATTAGCCTTCCTGCTGCAGAACAATGATGTCTGGATCAAATGATGTCATTTTACAGATATTTAAAGAGCTCAACCAATGTGGAGCTCATTGTTGAGTTAATCGTGTCAGTTTTT